GGCAGAGGGGGGGGGGGGGGTTTGGGGGGGCTTTCTTTCTCTTCTGCCCATGTCGACAGAGGCAAGGTGGAGGGATTAAAGTGGCTCAGGACTGGTTCTGAAAATAGAACATATGCCCCCTCCCCTAAAACCCATCCATGTGACTCTTCACGGGGAGCTATGCCAGCTGTGTGTACAGCCTTGGGAGATCCCTTGACCCTTCTCTCCTTACATATGTCTATATTTTTAAGGCATAGGGTTCCTCACAAACCTTTACAGACTAAAGAAGAAAACGGGGGGGTTTAACATCAACTACTGAAAATATGGGATACAAGATTCCCTGCAGTATAATGTATACCATGAGAGCCTGACATGCTCCAGCTGAATAACAATGTTTCACATGCTGCAGATGTTATGTAACAGGACATTTGACAGGGACATTGAGTACAGTGGGGTCCCCTGTCTGCTTGCAGGTGTCAGATTTTGCACAGAACTGATATCATGTGATTATGTCCTATGCTACCTGCTGGTTTCAGCATACTGATGGAATATTCAGACATGTAAGGGTGTTACCCCTGAACAGCTGAAAGTGCAACTCAGTGTTTTCAGATATTCCCAGTGGCTGCATTGCTAACTGGATGCTTCCTCAATATAGTGGCCAGAGATGTACTTTTTGAATTTTTGATATATTTTAGATCTTTTTTTCATATACAATGATAGTGGATGGATCTGAATGTATTAAAGAAGAGGTGCTTTGGTAGTTTCATAAAAACACAGTACCATAAACCTTTAAATACTTTAAGATGAGATGCAATGGCTACAAGTTCAAGTTGCTATCTGTGTATTTCTATAAACCACAACCTGGGCAATTCCCATCTTCAAATTGCTAGATGTGTAAAAGAGTTAAGAGAGAGTGTACTACAGCTGCAGCGATATTATGCCATATGTTTAAAAACTTCAGTGGTGAAGTGTTTATTGTGACATGATCATGAAAAACAACTTCACCAAACCTTTCTGTGGATGTGCAGGACCCACTCTAATGCATCGTGTCCACCTGCCGTGTAGTGGAAGTTGCTACAGAGTTGTACTGTTTTACAGTAGACATGAAGAAGGACAGTCAACTTGATGAGTTACTGTCAGGTTTGCTCGGCCGCTCTGCCTCCCTCACCTTTCCTACTGTCTCTTGCCCCATTACTCTTATCACGTTCACCTGTTCCTCACTCCCTTATCACCAGCTGCACTTGATTAGGCTGCTCACTATATTACCCGGTTTCACTCCTCAGTCACTTGCCAGTT